TTGCTCTCGCGGTTGGCTTTTGGCTACTGCAGGGGGGAGGGGGCTGAGTGGTCCCTGGCCATGCGTGTGGCCCCCACCACCAGTGAGTAGGAAACAACCCAGCTCTACTGTCTCTTCCTGCGGAAAAAAGTTATTGCCCCTTTAGGTTCTTCTAGTACTTGTTTTTAAATCAAGATTTTTTTTTGGCAAAAAAAAAAACTAGTTGGTCTCATAAAAGATATCCAGTAATCAAAGGAAGAGCTACATTTTTCACATTCCTGAGGAGTCGACTTCAAGAACAACACCAAAAATCATGAGAGTTAACACTGGCTATCACCTCTGCCATGAGTTCTGATCCCTCTCGTCCTTGTTGGGCACAGCTAGGAGCCCCAGCCAAGCTGAGGCGCTGTTGTGCAGGCCACTTGATGACAGTGATTCGCAAGGAGGGTGCCACACACCCCAGGGTGCCTTGAAATGTTTTCTAAAATCACGCTAGACATTTATGAAACGTCTGCTGAACGTGCAAACAGCTAGGAAAGTTTGGCCTTTTGTCTCTGGAAACTTAGAATCACTTTTTTCCAAAACTGCAGACTTGCAAAGAGCTTAATCTTTAATGAAAATAATTGCCTATGGCATGTTTGCAGAACATTTAATGTCACGCAGTCTCAGCACTGTGGGGTGCCACGCAGTCTCAGCACTGTTACTTGTGCCCAAATGCCTCGCAAGATCAACCCAGAGATTTGCAATAGGAATCTAGAGTACTGAGAACATTCTGCCTTGTAGATTTCCAGTAGGAATCTTGTAGGCCTTCTGAGCTCTTTCGACAAAACAATTGCTTCTATTATTTTCCTGTAGTCCAAAAACAAGTGAAAACTAGCAGCTGGCATCTTCCAAGGAGGGCCTTTGTTCTATTAGGGGTGCCTTGAGCCCAAGACGGTTGAGAGCCACTGCAATACTGATACAAGGAGCGGGGCCATGCCTCAAAGCACTTGCAATCTGGTAGGCAAGCAAGTCAGAGAAAGCGTGGAGAAAAAGTAGCCTTCCCATTTTAGGATAGGAACCTGAGGTCCAAAAACATTCAAGCTAAAAACATGACCTATTTCCCCTGGGGCAAAGCTTTTTCCTCTGGGGTTCTACAGACATACAAGCCCATTCAGTGTTGTTGACTCTAGAGCTTGGAGCAGGGTGCCATACTTCCTGTGTTCCCATTTTGCCACTGTTCTGGGAGCCGGTCCAGCCGGTCCAGAAAGTGGTGTTGGTAAGTGAAATAGGATCGTCAGGCAGGCGAGTGGATGGAGAGGCCAGGACAGAGTATTGGTTGCAACGAGATTTTACTTACGCCTCAGATGACACTGGCGTAGGTGGTGAACGATTACTTGATTACAGACAACAGGTAACGAGTAACGTAACAGATAACAGGCAACAGGTAACGGGTAACACAATGCGACGAGTCGACAATTCGTGAACGCAGCGAGCATGCAACGGGAACGGGGTACGTCTGGAAGGTCGACGACGGGGAGACGTTGGAGGGTGATCAGGCCACCAACTTGCCTCTGAGGTGTTCTCTGAGGTCTCCAACTTGGGCGGAAACTGCATTAACCTTTTCTGCATTACCCTGTAATAGGGCGAGCGAGCCAATAGCTAACCGCTAAGGAAGAATAATTTACAACCGGCCAATGGTGGTGCATGTGTTTACATAGGGTTGGCGGAAACTTTTTTTCTGTGCAGTAACTTTCCACTGTGATGTCTAGACACTAACATAGCGGAATTTTCCACAGTAGCACACGTAATGGAATTTTCCACAGAGGGCAGATCAAAGAGGAACTGCCAACTAAGGTGCCTGACAGTTTACATGGGGCATGCCCATATTAGGTGGCAACGTCAGTTGCTCGGATGGGGTTTTGTTGCTCGCTCAATCTAGTGTGACAGGAGCACTTAACTATTTCGGGGACTCACCTGTGACAGCCACCAGTTTACTGAGTGATTATTTACTGCTCCACCCCCCTTTGAGGTGTAATGTTTTGCTGCAGGTGCCACTTGCTACAAGAGATGTCAAGGCAAAGCCTTAAGACATTTCTTTACAAATTCAATAACAAATGCTGCAGAAATGGGTGGTCAAACAGGTGCTTTCCTATGTTCTTGATGCTAGTTAACATCATGCAAATGTCATTGTTGTTGGGTTTATTATTAGTGATATTGAGCATGGCTGATCTAGCAGTCACGCCTATTCAATTTCCTTGCTTTGAGTCCTGACCCTTGAAAACATGAAATTTTACTTATCAAGCAACATTTTGCTTTTCTGATGCTTACTTTCCCCTCACATATGTGTAGCAGGCTTACCTTTTCCGAGCTTGGGTTGAGGCCCAGGCTTGAGATTCTGCTATTTTGATTGGTGGAGCACATCCACCAATCAGGAGGCACCAAGAGAAATGAAGTCACGCACCTTTACTGAGGGGAGGGGGAGAAGAGCTTTCCCTGACCTGATTGAAGACTACAACACTGTCAGGTCTGGAAGACTTCAGGGCCAGAGCCCTGGAGCGTATAAAAGGAGCTGCATGCCTAGCATGAGGGAGATGCGTCCGGGATGGAGAAGAGAGAAAAGCAGGGCTTAGAAGAGCTGATGAGAGCTTCTCAGCAGGGCAAAACAGTATCCCAGAAGAGCCCCTGAAGACTTCCATCAGCAGGGAGCTGTGACAGCTCCAGCGGTTAGGCTCTCGGTGCACAGTATGGCACACAGGGTCTGGACCCTGGGAGCTGTGTGAGGTGGCTCAGGTCTGCATCCTTTGGCATGCGACCAGAGACATGGTGCACAGGCAGAATCTTTGGAGTCGCTTGGGCGGCTCAGGTCCCCAACATCCGCACAGGGCCAGGAGCTCGGTGCAGGAGGCGCTGCATGGAGGGTAAGGGACACTGGGAGCTGCTTGAGGTGGCTCGGGTCTACAGCTGCTGGCATGGGGCAGCAGCTCAGTGAAGACAATGCTGCACAGACTGTCTGGGAGCAGACCGAGCCCTGGTGCTGCAGAAGGCTGCCCGGGCGGGCCTCCAACCGCTAGCTTGAGGCAAAGTGCCCACTATAAAGGTGCATGTGGCCCTAAGCCTGCCAGGCGGCAGCAGAGTCAGGTGGCAGGAAAGCCCGGCAGGGAACAGAGCTCGACCTGGAGAACAGGAGACAACCCTCCAGGACTGTGGAGTAGTAAGTAACCCTGCAGAGAGGGTCCCCACAGGGGAGGGACCCCCAGGGTTGTGAAGGGGCACCATGTGGGCTGCTCCTGGGTGATGGGAGACTTAGGAGTCTTTGGGATCTCCCTCCCTTTTTCTTTCCCCCCACCTCCTTTCCTGTAGTGATACCTTGGAAGTGGGGCCCCTGCCCTGGAGGGCACCCAGGTAGTCTAAGGATTACTTGTTATATTTGTAGACTGTGCCTTATAGTTTATGTGAATAATTTGGAGTAATAGTTTGTATATTAATAGAGTTATAAGGTTGCCCAATCAATATCTACTACCTTGGGGGTCTTCAAGAGGAGGCTGGACAGATATTTGGCTGGGGTGATATGACCCTGGCACCCGTTCCTGCCCAGGCCAGGGGTTAGGACCTGATGATCTGTTTCGGTCCCTTCTGACCCTAAGTATTATAATACTATGATATCCTTTGTTCTGGGTTGTTCTATTGTTCATTTGTATTTTTGAATAATAATTGGATGTATATGATGTGTGTGTATATGTGTGTGTGTGTGTGTGTATATATATATGGTACAGGGTTTGTTGCTTTGTAAATTTGTACATATATATAATCTATGTCCTTACCCGTTAATAGTTTTACTGTAATAATAAATTTGTATATAGTTAAGTAATTGTTTGACTGGGCCTGACTCTATAGGGGTTGGAGGTGACCACTGAGCTGCTGTGTCCCTCCACAGCACGCTGCCCTGCCAATAATTCCCTCAATTGGAGAGGGGAGTACAAACCCATGTACATCCAGGCTACTTACAGTTTTTCAGATCAGGTTGACTTTAACCCATCTCTATACCTGCAGCTTCATTTCTGCTCTTTGCATCTGTCCATGAACAGCATCTCATTACAGGCAGTCCTCAGACTTACAATACAATTGGTTCCTGAAAACCACATCTTAAGTCAAAACATCGTAACTCGGAACTGATTTTTCCATAGGAACAATATTATAAATAGGGGATTGGTTCCTGAACCAAGGCCTGATACCCTATTTCATCAAAAATAGCCCAGAATTTTGTACTCAATCAATTATGGATGAGTAATATAGCTACATCAATGTATTTATATTGTAAATAGCAATCATATTGATTTGGAAGGACTTATTTGAGATGACTTTGCTGGACTTTTTGAAGGGTTCTTGGCTAGTCTTGTCAGGAGTCTTGGCTGCAGGTTTTTCTGGAGTCTTGTCTGCTTTCTTAAAGAAAGTGGCCAAGGCAATTTGGGCATATTTTCTCCAGAGAGATGGACAACACAGTGAAGTTGTTCGCTGGCATAGTGTGGCATCAAATCAAGCATCATAAAGTTGCAGCTAATATCAGAAAGTCAAAACAGGGTGTCAATTTATAAAAGTCATAAGTGCCGTTTGTTGTAACTTGAAATGTCTTAAGTCGAGGACTGCCTGTACTTCACGACTCACCTTGAGCAATTAATCCAATGCTTCTCAGTAACTTGCATCCACCATATTATTTATTAATTTGCTTTGAATCAAAACATTTATTCTCTTGAACTATTTGCTCTCAATAGGCACTACATCAATAATTATTTAATTACTAGGTAGCTCTGCAC